AAAAGACACTTATGAAAGGGCGGGGATGATTGGGGTAATCTCACAAGGGTCAAGCCTAGGCAAGACCTAAAATAATTCGTTTTTTACCCTTCGGGAGAAAAACGTTGAATATTTTTGACGTCTCTAAATTAAATTCAGAATTGTCAGAAGCGTTACAATGATTTATATGGCTCCTGCTAAAGTTTTGTATGACTATAAAGAAAAACTAACCGTCTCGTGGTTAATTTTCAATGGTTAACATATCCCTTTATCGTCTTGTATAATAAATAACTATTAATTTTGTAGTTGTTTTGTATTGTTACTTAGATGTTAAAAATCAAATTTCTTTAATAGGTTTCTTTCACGTATTAAGAACTGTTCAATCTATAACTTACTAAAATTTGAAAGGTAATTTTATTTTCAAGGGAGTTTAAACTTTGCGGTGGCGCGGCAAACCTCAAAAAATGGTCACTATGAAGGGTTTTCGCACTGAAATCATACTTAAATGTTACTTAAAAACCAATATTTGTGAGGATTAAATAACTTAGAATTAAACAAGCTTTAATTTGGTTCATTAAAATTGGCCCAAGGGATTAGTTTCAAACTCGACCGCACATACTTTTTAGTCCGACAGTAGTTACAATTAAACGAACCCAAACGTGTTTTGTGTGTGTGTGGGAAAGTAAACAGAAAATAAACTGCACCACAATAGACAAGAAGCGACAATGTTACTTCCGGTTGACGAGTATTGACCAAGATTGAATCACTTAGTCATTTGACTATTATCTACCTATTACTGAAAACAGAACTGGAAATTTCGAAACAGTTCGTAAGTTATCATGCACACAGACGGACGGACGGACGGACAGAAAGTCCAAAATCATAAACTCGCTTTTTGTCGCTTATTAATAATTGTCAGCGACAGAGTTTCCTGTACATGTTTTCTAAACTGCGTAGTTTCTGAAAAAAAAACTAATCTTACCTTAATGAGATTTTTTTGTATCAAAATTATGGAGTTGTGAGGTCGTCGCGTACGTCTCTAAGGATGTAGGTAATTCAGCCGTTTTAGTACGATTCTTGGGTAACAGCCTAAAATTCGGGCATTTCAGGGAGTAAAGCGATTTCGATTAGCTTTTAAAGGAAACTGGCTCAGGTAATTACTAGACGCCATCTTGAAAAAGGCGTTAATTAATTATCAAAAAAATGGGTAGGGAGTAATGCGGGGAGATTCTTGAATTCATTCGGTTTACCAGAGGGGAACCAGGTAGACGACTGCGGAAAAAATCGTTCCGGGGTTTATCAGAATGAAAGTTGCTATTTAATAATAATAATAATAATAATAATAATAATAATAATAATAATAATTTAATCAGTATAAGACAATTGCACAATTGTATAACATCGTCACAAACAGAATATAATAACAAGCGGAGGTACTTCGTACTAAATCTCACAATATAAATTACTATATAAATTAATAATGGAAACTAGACATTTTTCATACAGTCCAAGAATTCCTGGTGGCTGTAAACAACATTTTTGTGGACATCATAGAATACAAATAAAAATACTAGAAAAATTCGGTGCATAATCAAGTTTTTATATCGGGTATTGGTTGGGCACTGAAAAAGTCAGCGCAAATTTTATTGTGGAAAAAGATAACTCCTCTAATTGAATTAATTAAACGTGTTTAGTTTGGGACTTACAACCAAGGAGGGATTATTGTGCTGTGCAGGCAGAAAACAAAGAAAAACTGTAAAGCTGATTAAACGCATTTTCCGTCGCATAAACTGCGATTAAGGATAAATCAATTAAAACTTAAACGTACCGGTGTAGTACTTTCGCTAGAAGGGACTTTCGGTGTCAAGTTAGAATTAGAATCTATATCATTCTGTAAAAATCCAATATGGCGCCCATAAGAAAAAAAAAGCGTGTTATAGAAATTCTGATAACAAACTCAGATTCTTCGAAAGAGAGCCCACAGATGGTGCTAACGGAAACTGTCCATTACCGACCGTTTAAAAAATTTCAAATGCGCTTTTTTAGTCACAAAAAGGGGGCAGTTTGCCCTTATTTAATATTGGAAGCTTCGGCTATCTAAGGCAAATGTTATTCGCTAATTTTGGAATACATGCAGCAAGGGATTGGGAAAGAGTAACTTATTGGACGGGGAAGAAAGAGTTGAGTTTTGACTAAGTAACTTAAAAAACCACCTTCCACCGGGCCATGTTCAACAAATCAGAGGAAAAGCGAGCATGGTGGCTTCCAGCATAAAGATGTGACAGTGAAATAAGTAGTGTATACCTACATTAGTCCATTTTTGGAAAATACATCACAATATAAAATGCAACATTTCATCACTAGGTGCTTACTAGACGAATAAGAGATTGCTCTTGTAGAACACCAATAAAATTAACGCTAATATCATCGGAAATTATCAAACAATTTGTGTCTCTTCCACTAAAAATTGCACTAGAATATTAAGTAACGTCGAAGGAAAAAGATTCCAGTGGCATTTACTCAAATCCGCTTCTTGGTGTTTATTGCATAAAGAATAATAAGGTTAAGCCAATGAGAATTTTTTTTCTTCAAAGTCAAATTCCTCACTGTTGTACTCCGGGCTTTTAGGTAAATCATGAAAATAACATAAAGTAAAATATTGTTGTTATATGCAAAGCTACCTACCAAATTTGAATTTTCTGCTTTTAAATTGCGAATTTTCTAATTTATTTCTGCACACATATAGAAATTTAGTTGTGTCTATACAATCTTTGTTTACAGCTTCTCTACCAATAGGTAGGTATACGCCTTTATTTACACAACACATTATTTGCATATGGAGATGAACTTCAAAATTAAGATGTAAATGAATACCTTCAACTACCTGTGGGTATCAATTAAAGCGTCAAAATTAGTTTAGAAAACTGATAGATCCATGTTAAAAAGTATGGTAGGGTACGACGGCTCGTGCTGTCGGCACCATCTTCGGGCATAGCAGTTGCCGAAATAGCCCATCGATGACTATAACCGCGTAGACATTG